CGTCCTTCCGAATATGACCTATTTTTTATCAAAACTTCAACTTTGGGCGACATGTTCTAAAATCCCAAAGCTGGGATCAGAAAACTGAAAGTAGTTTTGGAAACCTCAATATGTTTTCTATTTACTCCAAAAGTATTTTCCCAGCCCTGAAAGAAATGTGGACCCTATGGGCAAAAAAGTAAAAAATCCCATTTTTGGGATTTTCATTCCTATTTTTGCGAATTGCGGGATGCCCTTTGACCTTTTCAATTTTTTATTTGAAATGACAAATTTAACAAGCGTTGAAAATTTCATTGAGTTTTGTTCATAAATAAAGATTTTGTCATATATTACATATTTGTTTAATTTCTAAAACTATGATTTATATCAAAATTTTAATAGGGTCGCAGATAGCTACAACAATTTAGTTAGATATGGAAATTCTCGATTCTTTACAAAAATTTTCAAGCCAATATCTCAATTACATTCAAAAATATGTTCATTTAAACCTGTATCCTTTAATTTCATATTTTTCATATTTTAGTATTAAATATGACAGAACATATTTAAATCTTATATTTACCTATTTTATATTTGTTTGCTTATCCTTATAATTGAAAGGTCCTATTATGCTTAAATTTTCAGAAATTTATAACTATTTTTTACCTGAATTTTTTCGACAGATCATTTCGTTCTGTTTCGTTTATGATCATGTAGGTAAAAATATACAGGTAATGATAATTTCGATTCATTCACTAATAAGAAATATTAATGACTGAATTACAGGTTATAGTAATATAGTCCTAAATGTTAATAGGTAGACAATTCGTAATTTTTTACTTTGGATCCACTTACGATCCAGGAAAAAAAAAACAAACTATCCTACCTATTGCTGTTAATGATGTGGAAGCTTGTATTGATAATCATCTTTGCTCGAAAACACAGCATCAAGAATTGTGTCAGACTTTTCAGAAGACCAACTAAGGAAAATTCATAACTGTGATGTTGTCTTAATGTGTAAGTGGGGATGTGACGGTTTATCAGGACTTCCAGAATACAAACAAGCTTGTGGAAGTCGGACATTAGCAGACTACAAAAGTGTATTTATGTCATCATTAGTGCCATTACGAATTCGTTCATATTCCCTTAATCCATCATCGTCAAGCATCGGAAATTCATTTGAAGATATATGGATCAATACAACTCCGGGTTCAAAAAATTTTTGTAGACCCATTGGATTTGAATATATAAAGGAGTCAAAGAAAACAACAAATGATTTAGTGGAATATTTAAAAGATGAAATAAATGCACTGGAGCCCATTTGCATAAAAATAAAAGAATTCTCTATTAAGGTATCATATCAGCTAATCTTAACAATGATTGATGGAAAGGTCAGCAATGCCATAACAGAAACTTCTTCCTTCTGGAGATGCTCAATATGTAATGAGAAAAAGTCGAAATTCTCAAATATAAACAAAAGCAGAAGTATTAATGAAGAAGTCCTGTCTTTCGGAATTTCACCACTTCATGCCAGAATACGATTTTTGGATTACTTTTTACACATAGCATACGACCTCAAATATAGAAGTGAGCCAGAGAATCTTACTAAATCAACAAAAAATAATGAAGAATTGAAAGAACTGAGAGCTGCGGAAAAAAGCAGAATCCAAGAAGAATTTAAAGTTCAGATGGGATGAAACATAGACAAACCACTTCCAAGTTGTGGTAGTACAAATGACGGTAATACGGCGAGAAGGTTTTATCGTGATTTTGAAATTACTTCAAAAATAACTGGAATCGACAAGGAGTTTCTTCGAAGAGTTAACATTATTTTAATGGCACTGAACAATAAACATAAAATTAATGGAAATCGATTTGGGGAATATACATCTGAAATTTCTAAATTACTTGTATCTCTGTATCCATGGAGGGAACTAACACCAACAGTACACAAAATATTGTGTCATGGTCAAATAATAATTGAATCGAATATTCTTCCACTTGGAGAGTTAACAGAAGAAGCCCAGGAAGCGAGGAATCGAGATTTTAAGCATGTTCAACTATTTAGCTCAAGAAAATGCTCCAGGCAATCACAGAATGAAGATATTTTTAATAGTTTACTTCTATCTTCTGATCCTGTTCTTTCAACTATGCGAAAAAGATGGATTTGTTATGAAACTCTATCATCTCAAAACAAGGAAGATTTAAAGGACTTATATTACCTTCTGGATATGTATACCGATATGACAGATTATTTTATAGAAAATAAGTAGTGTTAGGAATTAACTATATAAGTAGGTTATAAGAATTAATTGTATATGTTTAAGATAAACAGTTCAAATAAAAAAAGCTATTATACTAACTGATGATATTGTATTAAATTGTGTTTTATATTTCGGTGGGCGGGAAAGGTGGTTTGTGTGGGGTGATTTAGGTGTTGTTGTGCGTGGCTCATAATAAAATTATAATTTTTTTATTGTATATACAATGTTATAGTCTTTAACAAAATAATTAACTAAATAATTTTTAAAAATTGTCCAAATATTTTATTCAACACCAAATGTATGTTCTGTCATACTTAATACTAAAATATGAAAAAGATGAAGTTAAAGGACACAGGTTTAAATGAATATATTTTTGAATGTAATTGAGATATTGGCTTAAAATTTTTTGTAAAGGGTCGAGAATTTCCATATCTAACTAAAAAAATATATTAAGGGATAAATATGGACTAAATTGTTGTAGCTATCTGCGACCCTATTAAAATTTTGATATAAATCATAGTTTTAGAAATTAAACAAATATGTAATATATGACAAAATCTTTATTTATGAACAAAACTCAATGAAATTTTCAACGCTTGTTAAATTTGTCATTTCAAATAAGAAAATGCAAAAAAAAAATTGAAAAGGTCAAAGGGCATCCCGCAATTCCCAAAAATAGGAATGAAAATCCCAAAAATGGGATTTTTTACTTTTTTGCCCATAGGGTCCACATACTTTTGGAGTAAATAGAAAACATATTGAGGTTTCCAAAACTGCTTTCAGTTTTCTGATCCCAGATTTGGGATTTTAGAACATGTCGCCCAAAGTTGAAGTTTTGATAAAAAAATAGGTCATATTCGGAAGGACGCAGTGGTAACATTTTCAAAAAATAGGACAAGTTTTTTACGCTAAAGCGTTCTGCGTAAAGATACCTTTTAGAAAACTATAAAATTGTTATATGTTCTTAAAGAAAATTTAATTTTATTAATAAATGAGTTAAGACACATTTTTGGTAAAAAAAACGGCAAAAATCTAAAATTTTTTGAATTGTTAAATTAAAAAACGTATATTTTTGGATCTGTAAATGATATTGATCTGATATTGATATTGATTTGTATATTATTGGAAATTTTGTTGTCTAACTAACAAGAAAAAATTGAGTCCATTTGCTCCAAAATTACGCCCGGTATTCAAAAAAAGGCGGACCAAGGTATGGTAAATTTTGTATCACTAAATTAATGCCTATAACTCTGATATTATAAGAGATAAGCATGTTTTTTCAAGATCTCGTCGAGCGCTTTCAGAAAATATAAAAATCTTTGTATTTGGGTGAAAAACAAAAAAATGGCACGAGTTTAAAAATTTTACATGTCGTAGGTACCCTACTTTGAGCCGCCACAGCGCCGTCCCTGGGGCATCTGCAGGGTTCATCTTCAAAACTCGAATACTCCTTGGCTACGCTCACGCCAAATTTTATCCCAATCGGATCAGACGTTTAGAAATGCCAGATTTATTTCCAAAAAATTTCCATTCTGCCCCACTGTGTGCTGCCAGTCCTCATTGCCAAATAGTTATTTTTTATTCCCAAATACACTACAAAATCCTATTTTTTATACCCACCATCGAAAAATTTATATATTTTGATTCCTTATTATTCCTACTTGCACGATCTTGCCATCTTTCTGAAATCGCGATAGGGAGCTAAAAGGAAATTATACAGAAATATTTTGCATTGATTTGCAATGAAAACCAATTAAACTCCTTTTTTTTAAATAAATAAAGTTAGAAAAATATGATTGATGGCAAATTCAAGAACGAAAGGCCTTTGTTTTATAAACCTTTGATAAATGTTTATGAATAAGGCAGTAAGTGTATAATTCCAAAATAAAGTTACTATAGTTACTATAGCTTGAACAAAACTCAATTCGATTTATAGTGGCTTAATGGGATGGAACGCGTAATTTTTGTAAAGAATTGAATTATTAAATTCATTTGTTTTTATTTTTCAGAACAAAAAAAATAATTTTAATTTTGTTTGTCCTGATAAATAAAAAATTATCAATTTAATAATTTCATCCTTTATATGGAAGGATAACATTTAAAAGGGTATTTCCATTTTTAGGGATCGTACTACTTAATATCACGCCCAATAACACAGGTATAAAAATATTCGAATAAATGTAAAAAAATATTATATCCTTAAAAGTTTAAAGTCCTTTAAAAAGGAAAAGGGATCAGAAAATTTAAAACTGAGAACACAGTTTTTCTATATAAGAACTCTACTTTCAGTTGTATTTGGTTTTGTTCAAGTAAAAAAAATTAATGTCCAATATTATCTCACATTGATTTCCGTATTTTTCAAGAAATAAATTTTTTTTAATATTAGAGTAATAATAAACTAATACAGCTATAAGAACAAAAATTTAGTAGAAGGTGAAGAATATATAAATAAATTTTTTTTAAGAAAAATATATTAGAAATTCCAAAGGATATAAAAGGATGATGTATACATGTACATACTTTCATCAACACATACATACAACAATAGTACATACATTCCTTCCGTTATTCATTTATAATAGGTACTAATAATATGAATGACACAAATAAGTATAAAATATAATTTTTTTAAGTGCAAAGCACACATATTTTTACTTATGTTCTCTTTTATATTTTACACTACAACATATGCGTTTTAAACATTCTCTTTCTGGTCACCGTTGGTATAAATAAATTTTTAAATAAAATCGTACTTACCCTTAAAAGCCACGTAAGAACGCTTTCTCTATATGGTACGAATACAGAACTATTTCGATCATCTGAAAGTGCCGATATAACCTTTCCTAATGTAAGGAGGCTTTTATTGATGTGTACTCCCTCGCGTATTCTTTCACTGCTCGAACCACTTATACGTTCACTGCCTGCTAAGTCAACAAGACTTATTTTACTGCGTCGAGATTGCTCAATTTTATTGCTGCCCTTGCATTCAATGGAGTCCGATTTATTTATTTTAAGCATTATATTAAAAATAGAATGTGAACGGGAGCTTTTGTCATTCAATCCAGTAGCTGCCGTGGCACGCTGGGAGTTACCAACAATTAACCAATTTCGTAAGGCCTCAAATGAATCTACTGGATGTACACTGAGATCGACGACATATGGACCCCAAATGGGATGTTCGCGGACCTTAAGAGCCTTTCTGTTCATTTTTATTGGCGTTCCCCCCAAAAGTCTTCCATTAGTACTGTTTTCCATGTCTTGTGTAACACAAAGTAGATCATGGATTTTTTCATTATAAATTTCAAAATAACTGACTTCGACTTCGGCATGGAATTTTTCTTTTCCATTTTCTATATACTGGAAAAGCTCATGGCAAAATCTTGGAATTATTCCCGCATCAGCATTCATTTCAACTCTGTGTAAATGTTTTTCTTGTCTGTCAAAGCTTTCCAGTGTGTCAATGCCCATCATGCTATACGATTTTCCAGAACCAGTTTGGCCATATGCAAAAAGACATGTGTTATAGCCTTCAAAAGAACGAACAATTAATGGCTGTGCTGTTTTTAAAAAAACGTCCTTTTGATGCGCATAATCTGGCGAATCAGGATTGCAACTGGAGAAAACATGATCATATGTAAATGAGTGGCTGACACCTGATGATGCATCAGCACTGGAGCCAACCAAAACAGTTACTTCGTTGTTATTTACCCTTATAATATTAGATACAGAAGCAATCAAACACTCCTTGGCATTTAATGGTCTAACGCGTACAGCGACTTTTAAACGATCCTCAGCATCATTATTTTTTCGACTAGAATTCATGAGACATTGCTTAGATTTCTTCGTGCTTCGTCCACTAATTGGTGTTGAACATGCATTCGCACTGCGAAACAGAGATGATGGAGTGTAGCAAGCATTTATAACAGAATTTTTAGATTTGCAACGTGATGTGGATGGCGACGATATAATTGGAGAATCTTTTAATAATTCTGATTCATCGAGTTCATTTTTAACACTATTAATATTAGTATTTAAACGTTTTTGTGCACAGTTCAGGAGAACACCATCCCGCAACGTTGACTTTCCCTCACTAAAAACTGCTTTAGAATTGCTTTTTATAATTCTATTCGGAGACATATAGTGACTTGAGTTATTCATGTTGCAAATATATTTTACAGATTTTCAAAAAAAAAATTGACCGCTTAATATTTGAATTATCAACTTGAAATTGTCATTGCTGTATTCACTTCGCATTAATATTTTTGATATCATAGTGTTGCCATACCTTCAAAAAATAAACAAAGAATCGACCTTTGCCGGAAAAGTCGAAGTTGACTTTTTGACTTCAAAAAATTCAATAAGACGACTTTACTGTAATGTGGCCTTTAACCACAAAGTATACAGAGGCATCACGGCAAAGATATATATTTGTGTCTTTCACACGATACCATTTCAACTGGTTTTGTTTTGGACTTATTTTTTGGGTTTTTTTTAAATTTTCTTATTGGAGGTAAGTAAATTATTGGTAAATTGTTGTAAAAAATAAAAAAATAAAACAACATAATAAGTATATATATTAATAAAACACATAATTTATATACAATTAAAACTTTTTAAAATTTTGCACAAAATTTATTTTCCTTTTGTTTATTTTCTTTTGCTTTGTTGTTTTGTTTACAAAATAGCATTATATAGTGTTGCTTGTTTTAACGCACTGTCTGTATTAAACTCAAAAATTTGTTTTCTCTGTCTCCCGAGACCATTTCAAAAAAGCTGATTTTACTGTTTTTGAACTGTCAAATTTGACACCTCTGTATACTTTGTGAATCAAATGCCAATTAATAATCAGATTAGTTAATCTAAAAATAAATTTAATTTTATGTTAAATACCCGTTAATAATACAATCTTTTGATAAAACAGCAAACCCTAACAGCTGTTTTTGATTGTTGTGTGGTGAGTTTCTGTAAAAACGTAAACAAATGAAACAAAAACAAATTACTAGACATATTTATTTTGTGCTAAGAAAAATGTATGTATTTTAATAATGTTTTATAGCCAGTGCAAGTGTTCTTGGTGTACACCATCTACCCCAATAATAATCCCGGTTTCTTTAGAATCAAGTATTTTTAAAACGGCCACATATAATGTGCAATTCATTCTATATTCCATGACTGGTTGAAAGAATCCATCGGAGATCAACCTAAAAAATGAAAAAGGGGTGGCTTTAACTTCTTGTTCCGTTCATATGGGACAAGATTCGAGCCTCATCGTATCAGTTCGCCAGATACCTCATTTGTGTATATTGCAGAGACCGGCGAACAATGTGATTCCCTATTAGTTCCGTCACTTTCAAGAACGCTAAATCACCACTTGGTAGACACAACCCATCAGGGAGTCAAGGAACATTTTACACCGTTTGTAACACATCAAAATATTGGTCTAATATCCATAAAAGTATATGCTGGGATCTTATTACAGTCTAAGACCATCTACACAATATTTGCCAAAATAATTTTAGTTGATTGAGTTTGTTATTGAAAATGGACAATATCGGTATACGATAAACTCATCAGGGAGCCAAGGAACTTTTACACCGAAATATTGGTCCAAAATCCATAAAAGTATAGACTAGGATCTTAGCCAATGTTTGCCAAAATATTTTTAGTTCATGGAGTTTATTATTGAGCTTCAATATTCCAGTATAGCGAAGAAAAACGACAAAAACAAGTTTTATAGGAAATTATTTTACAAGATTCATATGATCCAAAACCTTTCTGAGTTGGTCCGAAATTGACCCTACCCCCATATAAGTTGCCCTTAAGAAAAATATATTAACTCCAACAATTGTAATAAAAATACCAATATAGCAAAGAAATCCCACATAAACAAGGAGTCAAAATCGTTTTGTCAAATTTAAGGGATCGGTCCATAATTTAACCTATCCCCGATATAAGGTCCACATCGGGAAATTACTTCCACTCTTAACTGGCTTAAAAAATAGCTATAAAATTCGACAACAACTTTTATATGAAACAAAATTTATCTGTTGAATTTTGTAAGGGTCGGTCCACAGTTGACCCTACCTAAAATCTCAAACAGATTATGCCATCCGATTTCTACACTTCCAACTTAAAGTTCTATATAGGATTTTAACGTGCCCAAGATCGTCCGATAGCAGTTATATTTCATTTTATATATACTTCCATAGTAACATTTTTTGTAAAAAAAAAGTTTGTTGTTGTAGTACACACCCTAGAACGATGAAATCCGGAAAAAATGTATGCCATCAGATTTCTACTCTTCCAACTTAAAGCTCTATATAGGTTTTTATCCATAGTAACATTTTTTGTAAAAAAAAGTTTGTTGTTGTAGTACACACCCTAGAACGATGAAATCAGGAAAAAAATGTATGCCATCTGATTTCTACACTTCCAACTTAAAGTTCTATATAGGTTTTTATCGTGCACAAGATCGTCCGATAGCAGTTATATATCATTCTATATATACGGCCATAGTAACATTTTTTGTAAAAAAAAAAGTTTGTTGTTGTAGTACACACCCTAGAACGATGAAATCCGGAAAAAATGTATGCTATCCGATATCTACACTTCCAACTTAAAGTTCTATATAGGTCTTTATCGTGCACAAGATCGTCCGATAGCAGTTATATATCATTTTATATATACGGCCATAATACCATTTTTTGTAAAAAAAGTTTGTTGTTGTAGTACACACCCTAGAACGATGAAATCCGGAAAAAATATATGCCATCCGATTTCTACATTTCCAACTTAAAGTTCTATATAGGTTTTTATCATGCACAAGATCGTCCGATAGCAGTTATATATCATTTTATATATACGGCCATAGTAACATTTTTTGTAAAAAAAAAGTTTGTTGTTGTAGTACACACCCTAGAACGATGAAATCAGGAAAAAAATATATGCCAGCCGATTTCTACACTTCCAACTTAAAGATCTATGTAGGTTTTTATCGTGCACAAGATCGTCCGATAGCAGTTATATATCATTTTATATATACGGCCATAGTAACATTTTTTGTAAAAAAAAAGTTTGTTGTTGTTTTACACACCCTAGAACGATGAAATCCGGAAAAAATATATATGCCATCCGATTTCTACACTTCCAACTTAAAGTTCTATATACATTTTTTATCGTGCACAAGATCGTCCGATAGCAGTTATATATCAATTTATATATACTTCCATAATAACATTTTTTGTAAAAAAAAAGTTTGTTGTTGTAGTACACACCCTAGAACGATGAAATCAGGAAAAAGATATATGCCATCCGATTTCTACACTTCCAACTTAAAGTTCTATATAGGTTTTTATCGTGCACAAGATTGTCCGATAGCAGTTATATATCATTTTATTTATACGGCCATGGTAACATTTTTTGTAAAAAAAAAGTTTGTTGTTGTAGTACACACCCTAGAACGATGAAATCCGGAAAAAATGTATGCCATCCGATTTCTACACTTCCAACTTAAAGTTCTATATAGGTTTTTATCATGCACAAGATCGTCCGATAGCAGTTATATATCATTTTATATATACGGCCATAGTAACATTTTTTGTAAAAAAAGTTTGTTGTTGTAGTACACACCCTAGAACGATGAAATCAGGCAAAAAATATATGCCATCCGATTTCTACACTTCCAACTTAAAGTTCTATATAGGTTTTTATCGTGCACAAGATCGTCCGATAACATTTATTTATCATTTTCTACATATGACCATAGTATTATTTTTTGAATGTTTTTTATTAAAAGGCATTCTGTAACGATATAATCCCAAATATATTTATATTTTATCAGATTTGTTCCTTTCCACATTTATATACATATTTTAATTGATCAAAAATAATTTTTTTTAAAGTAAATCATGAAAATCAATTTTTTTAATCTTTTCCACGTGCATAAATACATATTGAAAATGTAAATAATGAAAACGAGTTTTTGCGTCTTTTCCACTTGCAGAAACACATATTTGTAAACAAAAAAACTCACCACACCAAAAAAAAATGTTTATTTTGATAAAACAGCTGTTATGGTTTGTTTTATTTTTCGTCGGGTTGTTTTCTTTATGTGCGTTAATAAAACAACCTTTTGATAAAACAGCAAACCCTAACAGCTGTTTTTGATTGTTGTGTGGTGAGTTTCTGTAGAAACGTAAACAAATGAAACAAAAACAAATTACTAGACATATTTATTTTGTGCTAAGAAAAATTTATTTGTTTTAATAATGTTTTATAGCCAGTGCAAGTGTTCTTGGTGTACACCATCTACCCCAATAATAATCCCGGTTTCATTAGAATCAAGTATTTTTAAAACGGCCATATATAATGTGCAATTCATTCTATATTCCATGACTGGTTGAAAGAGTCACGGAATCCATCGGAGATCAACCTAAAAAATGAAAAAGGGGTGGCTTTAACTTCTTGTTCCGTTCATATGGGACAAGATTCGAGCCTCATCGTATCAGTTCGCCAGATACCTCATTTGTGTATATTGCAGGGTCCTGGTACCCAACACAGCCTTATTGTAAACGGTCTCATAATAATACTTAGATCTTTTCTTCATTCTACGACTATGCAAGAATACAGCTATGACATATTAATGCTTTAAGTGCAGCATGACTATCAACCTATAATCTTACCAGAGACCGGCGAACAATGTGATTCCCTATTAGTTCCGTCACTTTCAAGATCGCTAAATCACCACTTGGAAGACACAACCCATCAGGTAGTCAAGGAACATTTTACACCGTAACACATTGAAATATTGGTCTAATATCCATAAAAGTATATGCTGGAAAATTATTACATTCTAAGATTGAGTTTGTTATTGAAATCGGTATACGATAAACTCATCAGGGAGCCAAGGAACTTTTACACCGAAATATTGGTCTAAAATCCATAAAAGTATAGACTAGGATCTTAGCCAATATTTGCCAAAATATTTTTAGTTGATGGAGTTTATTATTGAGCTTCAATATTCCAGTATAGCGAAGAAGAACGACAAAAACAAGTTTTATAGGAACTAAAATCTTTTTGCCAAATTTTATGAGGATCAGAAAATTATTTTACAAGATTTATATGATCCAAAACCTTTCTGGGTTGGTTCAAAATTGACCCTACCCCCATATAAGTTCCCCTTCAGAAAAAGATATTAACTCCAATAATTGTAATAAAAATACCAATATAGCAAAGAAATTCCACATAAACAAGGAGTCAACATCGTTTTGTCAAATTTAAGGGGATCGG